TTTTTTTTTTTTTTTTTGCTGGAGATATTTAACTGGATGCAAATTCAGATTTTGGGTTACTCGTTTGAGGATGCAAATTTTTTTGTTTGAATCCATTTTTTCGAAGGCACTTCTTGATTAAAAGTTTTCTCCAAATAGTCTCTTATCTACTTCTTTAGTACACTGTTTGAGATCTTTCATATCCATTTCCGCTGGAATTTTCTCGCATTGCCCAATAGGAGAAGTGTCACAAACGAGAGTTAGTCTGCCGTCGTTTTTTGACGTTAGGAGCAAACTGCTTTTTGTTGAACTTTTCGCGTTGCGGTATCATACACATAAATGTTGAAAATATTTTGGAAAGTTCAGACGTTTTTGACGGTTATCATTGATATACTGCTTAGGTGAGAACAGTGTGCTGTGCTTGCTCTGTATTTAAACATAATCTCGATTGATAAGTACTTGTAATTAGATCAATTTGAATAAGTGGTTTGAAAATTATTGTAATAAATTTTGGTACTTTCAATTACTTTGAGATATTTTCAATGGCTGCTAAGTACATTTTTTGATTTATAAAAGCTTTTCATTAGATACGGACCAGAAGTTTTTTTAAGAATATAATCGTATCTTATTTGGTGTTTTGTATTGTTAACAAAGTGTAGAACTGCATTTAAAGATACTGTCATTTTTAGCATTCATGGAATTATGGCATATTTCTTTGTTTTCAATTTCAGTAAGGTACGTCGTTATGTTCATTTTGAATAGTTTTTCAGCTAGAGAAAAATTTTGTTGGTAGGGATAAAAGAGCGTTTACTGAGTGAAAAATTCCCTTAAATCTTTAATAAAAACTTATTATTGGCTTGGAAATCCTTGTTTTTCTTGTTTATTCTTTTCTTATTTGCTTTATTTTTACTGAATAGTATGTGATGTCTTTATAAAATCTTTGTGAATACCCAGTTATCTGAAAATTTTTTTAAAAAAAAGAACAGCTTTTTTCTTTTTCCTTCCCATTCTGTCTACTACAAATGCGATAACAGTGAATGATGAAGTTTAAAGAAGTTATGATAATTTGAAGGAAAAAAAAGTGAAGTTTTTTGTGACCGAAAGAGGAAAAAATAGACTTTTCTATCAAATGTTTATGGGGACATCTAAAGCAGGTTTATAAGAGACTTCCTCCTTCCGTTTATTTACATTCTTTTTCTTTTTCTTACTGATTTTGTTGTTGCTGTTTGCAAATGTAAAAAAAAAAATTTTTTTGACTTAGATTTTATTTTCAGATAATCATTGACGGCGGAATTTGTGGGCGTTTGTAATTAGATATTTTAGTGGGCAAAGAGAAGAGGCAAAAAAAAAGCATCTTTGCGTCATTGTCTTCAATTGGAAATCCACAGCTTGGACTTTATAATAACAGAATTGAACTCAGTTGACGTATTTTGGAGACATCTTTTGTGTATTTTAATTAATGAACGGACAAACGCATATTTTTAGCAGTGTTCCTGCTCTGAAATGGCATCCTGAGCACTTCCTGTTATAGATGTTGCTCTTATTCTTCATTCTGTTTATTTATTTATTTATTTAATTTTGTTTTTATTTTTTATTTTTTATTTTACTTTTTTTATCATTCTTATTATTTTCCTCTACATTATTATAACTGATATTGTCACTGTTGTATTGCTTTTGGCTGCACGTTGAATTCTTTTCAAATTAATACATCACTGATGCACATAGATTACACCGTTTGTTTTCAATCAAAATTGGATGGGATTATTCCTGGGTGAAGCTTCCAATGTTCATATCGGTTTTTGCCCATCCTTTTCTCCTTCCCACTCCTTCTTTCCTCCTCCTCTCATTGCCTCCCACCACAATTTTTATTTTCGTTTCCATTGTTCATTCTGT